GTGATGTACTGAGGCATTTTTAGAAACACAGTAAGTTAACTATTACTACTTTTAAAGGTGCCCCTTGGGCTGATGGCCTGAAATAAGAGAATACCTTTCAGGAAAGGGGCGCGTGGCGTCACACCACCGCCACGGTGCATGGCGGCGGTGTTGCTCTTCTCACTTCACAGATGAGAAAAATGTGCTCCAGGAAGGAAGGGGAGCCAGCCCTCTGGCCCACGGGGGGTGGGAGCAGGGGCTGCGATTCCAAGCCAGCACCCCCCCACACACACCCTTTGCCCCCACTGGCTAATTTGTTAATATAAATTTGTTTTTTACATATATGCGGAAAGTATACAAATCTCAGGTGAGTGATCTGGATGATTTTCACAGCTGACCGCACTGGGATAGGCCAAACCTATCAAACCCAGGAGCAAGGCAACACCAGCCCCCAGGCGCTCCCGCAGGTCCCTTACAGTCACTGCTCCCAGCACCGCCACTGCCCTAACTTCGTCCCCCTGCGTGTTTGATCTCGATACAGAGGAAGTCACACAAAATGTGCTCTTCTTAAATTCAAAATTATGTTGGAATGACTCATCCATGTTTTTGCATACAATTGTGATTCCCTCATTTTCATGGCAGGTCAGTATTTGACGTCGTGAAGATTCACAATTTACTAGACATCCCTCTGTGGGTAGACAGTAAAGTCGTCATTTGCAGTTGGGTGCCTCCATGAGCCTTCGTGTACATGCATTTTGATGAACATCTGAATACCCAGGAGTAAAACTGCCAGTCGTAGGTTCAGCTTTAGGAGATGCCTCCAGTTTTCCCAAGTGGGGGTGCCAACTTCCCACCCCTCCCCCGACCTGCAGCGTTATGAGAGTTCCAGTTGTTCTACATCCTCACCGACACTTGCCATTGTCTTGTATTCATTTTAGCCATATTGGTTGGCATCTCACAGAGTCACGTTATAGTGTTAATTTGTACATCCCTGATGATTCAGGAAGTTGAGCACATTTTCATATATTTATTGGCTGTTTGTATATTCACTTTTGCAAACAGTGATTCCTTTTTAATTTTATCTTTAATCAGAAAACGTTTCTGAGAATGGTTCCCATGCTGGAAAATTGTTTCTTTTCCCACCTTGGTGATCATTTCTAAACCTTGACATTTGACAGTTCTAAGAAGTTCCAAAGCCAAGGGAGGTGAGAATGAAGAGTTGGAGGGAAGGCTCCAGCCAACACTGGGCAGCCCAGAGCTCTGGCAGTTCCACAGCTGCACCAAAGGCTTTCTCTGTGCGCTGTGGGATCGCCCTGCCGTCATCAGAAATTAGGAGAGGTGACGGATATTTCCCATTGAGATCTAAAGACATGCTCTGAACTTCAGCCCTTCTTTTCTCTCTTCGTTTGCAGTTTGGGCTCTGGATTTATTTCAATGACTGCATAGGAATGAAGATAAAAGACACCCTTTCCTTGTGTTCTGCTCCTAGTTAGGCAGGGAACACACAGGGAGCTGGGTTTCTGACAAGCTCTGCGTTTGGGGTATTGAGGACCTAGTAGTACGTAGAGCAGCAGAGTGGTTAAGAAATCTCTTAAGCTTTGGCAATGGCTGTCAAACTCTAACAGCTCAAAATTTTCCTGGTATCAAATGCAAGCCCATCTCCCATCAGAGGAGGAACTGCTGGTCTCCCAGCCACAGCCTGTCTTTTTAACAGTCCTCCCAAGCCCTTCTTCACCAGAGGTGACCAAACAAATGCCTGTGGAGGAGATAGCTAGAAGTGGTGTCTATTGAACATCTACACTATGCCAGGCACTGTACTAAGCACTTTATACTTTCTAACTCATGCCTTGTTCTCAGGGAGTTTACAGGAGGAGAAAGTGGGGAGCTAGGACAGAAATGCTGCCCAGGAAGAGCAATTTATTTCAGTAGCTTCCAACAGCTGTCATGCCCCAAAGCAACAAGTCAATTCATTCGCTTCATAGATGATCACTAGGTCATCCCCGGGTAATAGGCTCCGGCTGGAGGCTGTGGGTCTTAATGTTGATGAGTCAGGGTTATGTCCTCTACAAGGAAGTTCACAGTCTCCTTGTAACTAATTCTTTGTTAAATGAATGAAACTGAAAATCCTTGCTGTGTTTTTCTGAATGGAGAAAGAGGGCACTTCCAGTCAGGGTGGTGCTCCGTGCAGTGCGCCCAGGTGTCCGCCAACAGGCCGTGAGCAGAGACCAACATTTCCTGAGCTCCCGCTACATACCGTGACCCGGGCAAGGCACTGAGCACCTGTCATTTCCTTTAATCCTCTCTGCAAACCTGTGAATTGTTGCTCCACTTTACAGATGGAGAAATGAAGGCTCCGAGTAACATTCACAAAGGCATGAACTTAAAAGTGGCAGAGCTGCAGCTGAAAATCAGGGGCTGCAAAGTTTCGGAGATTCTAACCATCTGAGGCAGCGGGAGTGGGATCTGACACAGCCCTAAAGAGCATGAGGACGGGATCGTGGCTGACGGGATGAGTGGGCTTCTTGGTTTGGGGGCAGCCCGCTGCGGTGGGTGCAGACCTCATGGCAGAAGAGGGGGCAGTGGTAAGCTAGAAAGTGGGTAGAGCCAGAGACTAAGGACCTGTGTGTGGACTGTGCGCCTGGAAGGCAGGTGACCCTCTCCTTCACGTCTCACCTTAAAGCAACCTTCTGTGATCGCATGGTGTTTAAGGCAGGCGGCGTGCAGCTCCGGGTGCAGGCTTCGGGGCCGTGGGATTCTGAACAAGCTTCTCAGTTCTCTGAGCTTCAATGTCCTTTTCCCTCAAGTAGTCGCGGTCACATATAAATGAGGTAAGCCTTGCAGAACAAAGGGGACAGAACAGATGCTTAATAAATGTGGTTAAGACATGAGAAAGCTGCCGGGGTTCAACTCCTGGCTTTGGTACTTACCAGCTGTGTGTCCTTGGGCAAGTGATACATACCTGGGTCTCAGGTTCCTCCTCCTTAAAATGGATATAATAATAGTTCTTAACCCAAAAGGCTGTTGTGATAGGAATTTGATACATACATTCATATGAGTTGGTATAAATAAAGAACTTAAATAAACCTTCAATAAACAGTGGCTACATTATATTTTATCCTTCATACTGCCTGGTAGGTAAGTAATGTTTGCTCCTTAAATAAGGACTATTGGTTTCCTTTCTCCCCAACGTCCAGTGGTACCGTGGCAAGCACTGGTGCTGCAGGAACTAAAAGGAGGTCACGGAAGCTTGCAGTGGGGAGGTCAGCTTCCAGCAAGATGTCAAAGGTGGGAGGATTTGGGTTGGGGGGGGGGGGAAGGGGTTTGCAGAGGCATGATCATCGGAAGGGAGTGCAGAGGTTGGATCAGAGTCACAGGGAGCAGGGGAGCTGGGTGCAGGAGCGTTGCTAGGGGAGAGATGGTGCCTTGAGGAGGTGTCAAATGACCATGTGACTGCATGACCTGGGGTGACTGATCTGCCTTCTGGGCCTGAAAAGAGGGCATGCCCAGGACTCCCTGGCCAACTGTGACCGGTCTGCATGAGGATCAAAAGAGGATACAGAGGGGCAAGTGTTTAAAACCACCAACACTCCATGCAGATACAACACCGCGTGGTCTCGTCTCAAGTGAAGGAGAGCCTAGGAAGCCCCAGCCAAGTCCTGCTTCCATTTTAATGTCTCTTATTTACCTTCACAGCTCTAGTAATCAAATTCCTATGAAACACATTCTCGACCACCTTCCCATCCCTTGTGATGTTATTCCTATTACAGCTCTGTGTTAGTACTGACCACTTACACTTTTATTGTATCTTAGCACATTATAGACAGCTTTTAAAATATCACTTGTTCTGTTACCAAGGAAAGTGTTGAGATGCAGCGGTAGGCCTCCAGTATGTTCCCGCAGGCTTGAGGAAGCCAGGCCTGCGTGAGCCGTATGAGGCCACACGTGACCACCGTCAACTCGCTCCTGATCCAGCTGACCAGCGCCGCTCCTCTCCCTCTAGACCCTCAGTCTGTCCTGTTTATTGCCTCTGTGCCTAAGCCTATTCTCTCTCCCTAGAACACCTTTCCCAACTTACATCACATAAAACTGCTCTTCACCCTTCAAAACCCCATTCATGCATCCTCTCTTTAAAGTTTTCAAATGGCCCTTCCATACAGAAACTGCTGGGTGTCTGTCCCTGTGCATATTTATTGCACACATAGGTTCACAGATTACCCTCTAGTCCAATTACTCACCTGTTTAAACTCCCAGAACCACTTGTCTTTCTTCACCTTCAGGCATGACTCTGGCCTTGGCTTAGTTATCTCTGTATCCCTGCGTCCAATCAGAGGGCCTGGAAGAGAATAAGAGCTTAATAAGTATGTCTGCAGTGAACTTTGTTAGGCTCAGTCCTGTGTCAGAGGTTCCATCAATTATAATTTATGAATGTTTCCATAACTGAGTATTAGGAGAAAGTGCATCCCTCTGCTGACCGTCAAAGGAGGCTAAAGAGGGTTCAAAGACATTTAAAACAGCCTCCCCAACCTAACCTGTTTCTAAGAGGAAGCCCCCTTTCCATGCTCCTAGGTCAGCCACTTTCATTTGTATCAAGACCTGTAGTGAGAAAGCAGTATTTTTACATCAAGACTCACTAGACACCAACACCAGAGACAAAAATTTCATGGGATAACGTTTACCCATGCTATGGGCATTGGTTTCCATTTTCTCCTTTCTGCCTCCCTCTCTCTCTCTCTCTCTCTCTCTCTCTCATTTCGTTGTTGGTCACCCACTGCATTGATTTCACCATTGTTTAGTCTAATCAGTTGCATCCCATAGTTTGGGGAAGAAAAAAAAAGAAACCCTACTCGAAGCCTTCAGCTAATGTAACCCAAGAGGGCTTCCCAGAGGAGGAGCCCTGGGCTCTGAAGATCAGTTCAGAAGAGCGGGTGGGCCGGCCGTGTACACTGTGGGTGGGTAGGTGGGTGGGGAGAAGGTATGAGGAAGGCACTGGCAGTCTCTAACCTGCTTCCCTTTCTTTGCAGCCGAGCCCCTGCCGCTGATGGACCTGTGCCGGAGATCCATCCGTTTGGCCCTGGGCCGCCAGCGCCTCCGGGACATCGGCTCCCTGCCTCTGCCTCAGTCTCTCAAAAACTATCTGCAGTACCAGTGACCCGGGTTGGGAGGCGCCGATGGGCAGCAGTGGGCACTGCCCGCTGGCCTGGACTTTCATTTCAAGAGAACTTTCAGGAAGGGGTCTTCCTCCTCACCCTGGTTCCCCAGAACTTTCATTTCTTTGAAAAGCCAGGATGTGTTCCCAACTTCAAAAATGAATGTCTGTTGCCAACAGTATTTGCTGCCTTAGAAGCAGCTCTCCCAAGTCCCCACACCTCCTTGGAAGCCACGAAGAACCCCAGGGCCTCTGCCTGCCAACCAAGACTCAGCAGCCACCGGTATTGATCAGAGATCCTGTTTCCATATTCAAGAGAATGAATAAAACATTGGGGCAGGAGACTTTCTGTTGTGTGCCTGCTGCAAACAGGGCCAGGGGAACATGGGCCAGCTGGGAGAGAAAATTGCTTCTGAATAATGAATGATGAAAACAGCTTGCGGCGTCCCCTCTGGTGCCCCGCCCCTTGTGAGGGTAGCCGGATTTTCTGATACTTTAGGACTGTGCCCCTTTGAACCGGCGAGTGGGCAGAGCAGTGTTTAGGCGCCGTCCAGCTTACCTCTTTGAAAGCCGTTTACTTACCCTTGTCACATGTCCCCCTTCCCCACCCTGACCCACTGTTTGCCCCAGGCACCTCTATTCAGGGAAGCTGAGTCTCACTAATCCACCCCAGGGACAGAGTGTTTCTTTTATGATTATTTTAGGTAGCAGTTGCATTTTAAAAGAGGAGTGTGGTGCGTGAGGGCAGTACTTAGTCCAAAGGTGCTAATGGGGGAATTGGGGGCCTTGTGACACCCTAGTGGCTGATGCCTGAGGAGCCCTCCTGGGTGCTGAGGGTCTCTAGGCAGCCATCCATATAGGGTGCAGCCTGCTTGCCACAAAGCTTTATCTGAGCGAATTATTTTTTCACTTTAGGAGACTTGTACTAGTTTCTGTTTGAAATGTGTGTGTGATGTTCTGTTTATTTATCAGCTTGGGGCCCGAGGGGGGCAGCCTGGTAACTGGAAGGGTGGATGTGGGGGGCACCTTCTCCGCCCGCTCCAAGCCTGGTCCTTTCCCGGGAACGATGCTGCCGTTGCTGCCACCGCCTCCGCTGGGCATCTCTCGTGTGTTTCCAACGCTCTCTGCCCAGACTCATTTTTAACTGGAAATCGTCACAGCAGTGGAACCCCAGAGCCCCAGACGGCACTGCCTCCCCCCACTTTAATGTGAACTTGACTGATGAATGAGGAGCGTTTCTAATAAAGTTTGTCGTTCAGTTCTTCAGCTGCTTATTAAATGCTCTTTGGGGAGGGGCCAGGAAAGCTTTTTCCATCAACCTGGCTGGTCTGTCCCCAGACTCTCAGAAGACAGGAATGTGACTCTTCAAACGTTTCTCATCTCTTCTCTTTTCATGTCCCCCGTTGTGCCCAAATTCTAGCCATTGTACAAAGACCTGCCATGAAAGAGCAAATGTGCCTGGGTCCTGGACCCGTGCTGACCTGGCTGTGACAGTGGAAAAACAGGTCAAACTCCTGATGCCAGGGTTCTGATGTCCACAAGGCCACTCTCCTGGGACCACGGGGTCAAGCAGGGTAAACCCTATAGGACAACCATTTCAAAGGAGACCAAATGGTGGGGCTGGACATGACGTTGGAAGTGCAGGTCATCGCCAAGGAACAGTGCAAATTGCTGAAGGCTTCGTGTGTGGCTTAGCCAGGCTCAGGGCTGGAAGCAGGTTAGCAGCCAGTCAGGCTGGGGGCTGGGTCAGGACTGGCACAACATTCACTCGGCCATACAGGCCACCAACACGTACTGTGCCGATGTCTGAGGACCCAGCACTCATGCAGATATAGCCCACTCCCGGGGGTGACACAGGACAGCTCACCAAGGGCCTGAAGGGGAGGCTTCCTGGAGGAAGAGGCACTCCCCACACCTGCCTCTTTAGGGAAGATCACCTTGGTGAGGGCAGACCCGTAGAAGCAGACGTGCTGCGGGCCACCAGGGGCAGTGCTCTTCCACCCTCCTGAGGGCGGGGGGGGGGCGGGGGGGGGCGGGACGCTGGGCTCAGCCTCTGGTCGGTTTCCCTCATTTATGCTGCAGGCATGGCCTCGGGCTGAAAGAGCAAAGCCCTGGGTGTGAGTCCCCGCTTTATCACTTACATGTTGTGACTTTGGGTAAGTTGCTTCCTCCTGTGCACACTGTGGGGACTGATCAGGCGGCCAGTGAATGAGGACCTTCCCCTCCTGCCTCATAGGGTCCCACGTTCAGCACCAGCTCTCTGGGTTGAATGCATCCCTCTCAGCTCGGCTTCCATGCCTCACGAATGCAATTTCTTTCACCCTGGCAATGCCCATCTTGTCCTCGCTTCACCCTTTCCAGGATCAGCTTAGATCAACCCTCCTCCGGGAAGCCCTCCTTAACCACCTACCAACTTCTGCCTGCTCTGAGAGTCAGCTCCTCGCCTCCCAGCCTGAGGGTTCCTGTCCTGGCACCCAGGGCCCTCACCCAAGCACTCTGCCCTGTGGCCTTATCGGCCCCGCGGGCTGTGAGCCTTGGAAGGGGGAGCCTGGGCCTGCTTCTTCCCACACAGCCCCGGACCAGACACATGGGCTCCACAAAGGTCTGCGGGGTAAAAAGATGAGTGAAAGTGCCCCCCTTGTAGCGGGGCTGCCCATAGCACTTGCAAGGAAAGTTCTGGAGTGGGTGGGGGATGTCCTGCTGGAACCAAGAAGCTGGCCACGAGGCCTCTGGGGCTTCATGCCCCTTCACTCCCGGGGCCATTCTTCAGGTCCTGGTTCGGCCTCTGTGTGTGCCCACGCCACCTCGGGACAGGAAGAAGGAGGTCCGACCCTGCTCTGGTGGAGGCCACATTCTACGGGGGAGACAGACACATTAACTAAGAAACAAGGTGATGTGAGAAGGGAGTGATGGGAGGACTAGAGATTGGAAAGCAGAAGGACCCCCTTGTTGAGAGTGATCAGGGAAGGCCTCGGGAGATGCTGAGTTCTGAAAAATACATGAAAGCCTGTGGGGCGGGTGGGGCTCTGGGTGGGGGGGACTTCCTGCTGTCCCACCCTTAAGGCAGGAGCTTTTGAGCCCAGGGAGCCGAGCCGGGAGCCGCTGCCCTGCCCTGCCCCTGCCCCAGGTTCTAGTGCAGCTTGCCTGTTGATATGCAGTATGTCTCCAGGGCTCCTCGTGTATTATTCCCCCCTGTGCACACACACACACACAGAAACTCTCTCACACACACACACACACACACACACGCACATACCGCCGGTCTTTCCCTAGTAGACATCGCGGGAGCCTCACAACCACCCCCAGGGCCCGTGCCCATCACAGCTTAACCCCAACCCCTCCCGTCCTTGGCATGTTTTCTGGGGTTGGGCCCCTCTCCATGACCTGTTCTGAGGAAGGAACTCGCTGGAACAGTCCACTAATCGCTTTTTGTCTGTGAGCAGAGCACGTGGCGGGCACGGTTCCCTGCAGACTTGAGCCCGCCGAGTTCCCCGTTTCACACTTTACCCACACCTCTACTTTCTGGATAAAAGCCATCCCCCTTCCCCTAGCTTCTCTTCTCCATCACTCGTGCAAGCAACTGGCTTCTTTGGGGGCCACTCCTCATTAAAAAACAAATATTTCATCACCTCTCAATGTTATAGCCCAAGCGGCAACAGGTAGCAAGTAACACATTTCCATGGTGATTGACTTGTGCAAGGGCAGCTGCGTCCGCTCCGTGGGACCTCGCTCCCAGCCGCGGCCTCCCAACAGGAGGCACATGTGCCTACAGGAGGCCAGGCGGCGTTACTTACTCCTCGGGTCCCTGACAAAGAGTGGAAATCTCCACTTGTCATCCGAAACACAAGGACTTGGTCTGCTCTTCCCTCCAGTTCTGGGGGCCTGGGTCCCACTTTAGTCTGCCCATATGTTTTCTGTTCCACATACTCTGTGTGTGCGTCTTAATAAAATTGAAGCCAACTCAGAAGAATCAAGTAATTTAACAAAAAAATCCAGATTTCTGGCTTACCTTGAAAGACAGAGATGTGGTAAGACCAGGCCTACATGCCTTCATGGCGATATTGGCCAAGTTGAATAGGGGCAGCCCCTGGAGTAGAGGCCTCTGTCCTGTGGTCCAGCCCCAGGTGTCCCCCTCTCACGGCACCAGCTTCGGGACGTCCCAGGGCCAAGCTCTCCCATGGGCTTTAACTGCCGGGGTCTGGGTCAAGGCTTCTGAGGGGACTCTTTGGACCGTAACTGTAACACGCATCGGAGGGTAGTAAATATGCACACAAAATCCCCAACCAAGGGAGGGTTCACAGGGGGAGTCTGCTAGCTCTGGACTGGACTTTGAAGCATCTCACAGCCTCAGCTGCTGAGGAGTTCACAGGCACCCAGGATCTCTGCCCGGACACCAGCGATAGTATCTGTGTCTCTGGTTGGATAGTAAACTCCTAGGGGTCAAGGACAAGAATCCTTGGGTTCTCTTTTTAATGAGCTGGATGACATGGTTAGACAAGCCTAGCTGCCCATTAAAATCCCTTAAGGAAATTTGTAAAAAGCCCCAGTGCTCAGGCCCTTCCCCAGACCAATTACGTTCTGTCCTCTGGGGCTGGTGCCCAGGCCTTGGTAGTTTCTAACATTCCCCAGTGACCCTGATATGCAGCCCCAGTGAATAAGGTGCTTAATTAAGTCATGTCAGTAGAGACCCTGTTGCTATTAGTGAGAATGTACATTCTAGGCCAAAGAATGCTGCCCCAGCCCAACCAGCGTTACCAGGGAAGGGGAGATTCTCAGTGGCAATGTCCCCAGTGTGATTAACTCCAAAGCCAGCGGATCCTTCCTGTCTTCAGCGACGCTGAGCTGGTTGCTCTCCAGGACTAGGAAGGAAGGACTGGCCACTTCCTCCCTGATGCTGCCCGATCCTTGACTAATTGATTCCTGCCCTACCCACCCCCTGACCCGTGGGACACGAGGTGTGCGGAGAATTTCCCAGAGAGCATTGTCATAATCAATCAGAATAGCTTAGAATAATATGCACAGAGCAAACTGAAAATGGTTTGGCCTTGAATGTACTGTCTTGAATAGCAGTTGAGATAGTGAGAGCTGACTACAAGAATGGTTGGGTTCCTAGTATTGCCAAGCCTTGCTTCCTTAAGCAAGATGACACATTTGGCCAATAAGAATGATGTTTCCCCCACTTCCCTAATGGATTGTGGGAGTAGATAAGTCAATAACAAGCCAACCCTGGCTTGATGACAGCATCCTCACCTGCTCTGTCTACCCAACAAATGGGGCTCTTTTCCGAA